ATTGTACTTCGTGTATGTGAGCCCACACAGCTCGACCACATACTGGGCCTCTCTCGTGGAGTTTCCTTTTCAGTCTGCTCCAGCATGCCTCGATGGCATTGGTGTGCCGTCCGGTGGTAGGGTCTTTGAAGTTCTTTGAGTGATTAACAGAGAAATGTAGATTACCTTCTGAGGGAAGACGATTATACGCCTCCCAGTCGTCCGTTACCATTATACTGCCTTTGGCGACCCATTTTGTAATAACGGAACGGAGAGCGGACCAACTGCGATCATTCACCTGTTCAAATAAGGCTTTCTGTCGGCTAGTATCGTACATCCCGACCAGCCACCACCCTTAAAACCCCTATTACCACCTGTCCCGTAAAACAGGCTGCTTTGGTTAGGCGGATTTTTTTGGGTGCCATCTCCCGATTGTTACTCCGATTTATCCAGTTTACGGCCAGCTTATAAGATCTCTGGCTACTACACGTCACATCACCTGTCATGCAGGTGACCAGTGCCGACTACCTCTTGGGTATAAGCCTCATATCTTTCCATCCTCGATATTATTTGACCTTCTTACGTCGTGTCGGGTATGCGAGCAAGGCACTGAGGCTCTCAGAATGTTTGGCCAGATGTGTGGTCAAGAACTTTAGGAGGTTATACGGAAAAGAACATTAACTACAAGCGAAACCGAAGTGTGAGAGCTCGCCCACTTCTACAGTCTGTAGTGTAAACAGCAATTAAACTACTAAGAATAATAAATACTTAACTCTAAGTGGGGGATGTTGCGTTTCTTACAAGAAAAATAACGATGGCAAAAAGAGTATAAGAAAAACGAAAAAAAGGTAAATAATTGCACAGACTCACGATAAATAAAGCTTTCCCCAGAATCGTTGGCCGTAGGGTGAATGTTCTGGGTAAAATCCCGAGACGAAGTCAGTTAATGAGGCTTGTGGCTCAGGTGAAATTACGTCCAATTAAATATGGCCAGAAGATTTAAACGTTTCGTGTTGATTGACTAAAATCGATGGAGGCGAATGAGTGCAATCAACGAAACAATGACACCACTCGGCAGACAGACACAACTGAGGGAGCGCCCATGTGGTGGGAGAAGGGGGGGAGGAATGGATTATAAACCAGAATGAGAAAAAATTATTCACAAGGTTGACTGGTTAGCGCATGAAGGCAAACTAGAAACTCACGGAGCAAATGATAAAAGGTCAGCAAATGCGGTGAGCTTTTTTGCCCTCTCCCTGACGCCCACACAGTTGTACGCGAGGATGGCGAAAAGAAGCAGCAACGGCACGCAGCACAACCGCGAAGGACACTCAACATTACCCTGAGACATGCGAGTGCAACCTCCCAGGTCGAGACAGATATGAAAAAATGACACGGAAGAAATGAAGAGGAGCAATTGCAAGGCAGAAATCAATACATCAACCCATATGGGGGGGAAAGGATGTTTTGGTTCGTGTCCGTTCGTCCTCAAGTAAAAACTGTTGCATATGACAGAGAGCGAGTGAGAGAGCGCCGGAAGGGCTACCACCCCCTCTGCATTTTCAGCACCACGGAAATATTGAGGGATGGGTGTGCAGAAATGAAGGCGGGCGGAACCAAAAAACTCATTAGATTTTGCGAATTTTTGCACAACACACTTCCGGCTTGTCCCGCGCAATTTCCATCTTACTCTGTTGGCGGCAGTCAAAGAAGCAGTCGTGTTGATTTGAGTAGCGGTGAAGGGCACAGAAGAGACCATCGGAAGGACATTGGAAACCTGTAAGACCGACGCGTTTCCGGCACTTTTTACAGCGATTTACGGTACGTGGGGCAGGAGGGAGTTGTTTTGAGCTCTGTGCGCATCCTGAGTTAGGGGAAGTTTCATCCGTAGACAAGGGAAGCAAGGGTTCAGCAGATGTGTCAGATTCCAACTTTCTCCTGCCAGATGGACATAGGCGGGGAGA